ATTATTGCATTTTTCTCCCTCCCTCCTGCCCCCCAGTTAGCTCTTCTCTTTGAAAAGTTAAAAAAAAATTCCTTCAATCCCCCTCCTCCCAGTACACTCCACTATCCAACCTTCATTCTGCATCTTGTCATAACCATAATACCCAATCATATATCACTTTTAAACTCTTCTCTCCCTCATCTGTTTCAATGCAGTATACATAATTTATCCAGTCTTTCTTAGTCTCACCCCAAACCCGATGTCAGTCCCATTTTACAACAGTGGCACTATGCAGTATTTGTCCTTTTTTGACTGAGATATTTCACTCAGCATAAGGTCCTCCAGGGTCACCCATTTTGAGTTAATATTGTATGAGTTCCTTGTTTTTCAGTGCAGCATAGTATTCCATTGTGTCAATATACCAGACCTCTATCCATTAGTTTGTTAATGAACACTTAGTTTCCAACTCTTTGCTATTGTGAACTAAACCACAATAAACATGGGTATGGATATATCTGCTTGGGTGGCAGTTACGGTTTCTTTAGGGTGTGATTTGATTCTTAGAAGGTCCCATTCATCTATTTTAAGCTCTCCTGGTTGTAGATTTCCCAGGATGCTTGTAAGACTGTTTATGTTGTGGATTAGGACTTCTAGAGTTCTTCCAAGCTTTTCTTTAATGAAATTTATAGTCCTTGGTTTTAGTCCTCGGTCCATGATCCATTTTGAGTTGGGTTTTGTGTGTGGAGTGAGGTGTGGATCTTGCTTGAGTTTTCTGCAGATAGTTTTCCAATTTTGCCAGCACCTTTTGTTAAAAGGCTATCATTTCCCCACTTAACTGATTTCATCTCTTTGTTAAAAATCAATTGACCATAGGTAGATGGGCTGATTTCTGGATTCTCTATTCTATTCAGTTGATCTATATGTCTGTCATTGTACCAGTACCACGCTGTTTTGACCACCACAGCAGTGTAGTAGGGTTTCTTTTTTTTTTTTTTTAATTTTTATTTGTTTATTTATTTTTCATTTCAGTGAACATCTATAGAGATTTTGGAATTCCATTCATTCATTGTTACACCCTTCTCCCCGACCACCACCCCCCTCCCCCGTTTGCTCCTCTCCTTGTAAAGCAAAAGCAAAACTCCCTCATTGGTACCCAATCCCCCCGCACATTCCCCAACCACACTCCCTACCCCAAATATAATCCACTCTGCAACCCTCATTCCGTACTCTTACGATACACATAAATGCCCTAAAATATAATACTTTTAAACTATTCTCTCCCCCATAGACTTCAATGCCGTAAACATATTTCTTTTTAAGGAGTGCTTTGTTTATTCGGGGTCTCTTTCCATTCCAAATGAAATTGGAGATTGTCTTTTCCATCTCAATGAAGAATGGAATTGGCTGCATGGTGGAGTGGACTGGGGTAGGGGGATTTTATAACAAAGAATTTTTCTTATACTTTTCAAAGAAAAGAGCGAACTGAGGGGAGGGGTGGGTAGGGAGAAAAATGCAACAATGAATGGAAATCCAAAGTCTCTGTAAACGTTCATTAAAATCAATAATAAAAAATATTAGGGGGGGAAGGATGAGCAGGGAGAGAAGTGCAGTAATGAATGAATGGAAATCCAAAATCTCTGTAAATGCTCATTAAAATTATTTAAAAAGTATTAAAAAATGACTAGTGTTTATGAAATATATATACATATATATAACTGGTTAGCAACTTCTGCAACATATTAAAAGATATGTAGAAATATAGTGTGTGGTAATGACTACTTAATGCTTACTACAATGAAATTAAAATTTATTTTAGAAATTAATTTATTCTCTAATTTTAATTTTGTCCATTCTCTAGAGGAGAAAAAGTAATTATTAAATATTGAGTTTTAAATATTTTAATAAAATATACTTCCTGGGGAAAAAGTTGCTGATGAGGTTGTGAAGAGATTGGAATCCTTATTCATTGCTGGTGAGAGGGTTAAATGGTACAACCACTATGGAAGGCGGTCTGGTGCTTTCTCATGAAGTTGGAAATAGAAATGCCCTTATCTCTTGACTAATTAAGGTCTTGAGTAATTCATTCTTTTCTTCCGGAACTCTCCTGCAGGTCAGAGAGGTGCAACAGGAATGATTGAATGCGATATAACGGGAAAGAAGGAATGGGTGAAGCACAGTGTATGTAAATGTTGTATGGAAGCCAACAGAAAAGAAATTTTTTTTTAAAAAAAGACATTGTGAAGTCCATTATTAAGGACCTTTCCAAAGTACTAAGGGGCAGTGCTATCAGTTTAAAGATTAACCTGTGCTTGATTCAGGCCATGGTCTTTATATTCACTGACTGAGAGCTGGACAATGAATGACAGAAGAATCAACACTTTTGAGTTGTGTTGGAAAAGAGTACTGAATCTTCTGTGGTCTGCCACGAGGATGTAGATAAAGTTGGGAGAAACTGCAGTCAGGGGCAAGGCTGGTGAAGCTTTGCCTCACATGATTTGAGCGTGTTCTTAGGAGGGCCCAGTTCTTGGAAGAGGGCATCATGCTTGGAAAGGTGGAGTGTTAGCAAAAGAGAGGAAGACCCTGGGTTGACACTGTGAAGCCAGGAGCTCAAGCAAGTCAAAGATGATGAGAATGACACAGGATAGGACAGAGTTTAAATTCACTGTTCATTGGGTCCTTGTGAGTCATAATGTATAATGTTTAAGTGCAAGTTTAAGCTCAAATTTTAGCTCACAAAGGAGAATGTTTAAGCTGAGCATTCTAATATTTGTCTGCTTCCTTAATCTCTTTGGCTTAAAGTATTTCACTTGTAAAACTGAGATAAAATTGCTCTTATAAGAATGTCATTAGGGGGGAGCTCTGGTGGCCTAGTGGCAA